ATAAACTTTGTTTCTCCCTGCCTGGCAGGAGGGAGAAGCAGCTAATGTCTCCCTGCTGAAAGCATTAACTGATTGCATTGTTGCTTGAGCACAGCAGCTGTCCTTTTGCATTTAGACTCCCAGTGACAACAAAATTAAGGCAGCCTCCCCTTCTGTCAGGCAATAAAATGATTTTCTCAACTTCTTTATTTCTTCTGAGAACTTCTTAGTGCCTGCCGTTCTATGACTGCAGTAAGATGCTACAACCATAACGAAGGGGACCTTTTAATCAGTGTTTTCTGGAAAGTCAAATGGAAAACACAAAACAACACAGATTCTACTGTGCCCTGAGGACTGATTTCCCCCCAAATTTCCTATTTGCTTTAAATTTGTTGATGTGTGGGGGTGTTTAATCTCATTTATGCCACCAATGCTATGCTGATTAATTGCCCACTGCTTTCTTGTGTCTGATAAAAAGGATCATGCTATGACATCCTCAGAAAAGAACAAATCCCCAGCAAAGAGGAAGGAGAGTGCTGCTGCATGGTCTTAATTTAATTGTTGAGTCTGGATGGGCCCTAATATTTCATAATGTTCTTTGTAGTACATCAAAATGAGTCCTTCCCAAATGATGCCTTCCGGGTAGTTTCACCTGCATAGATCTTAGGATGATGTGGACGCATAACTGAATAAGAAAATAACTTTAAACTCAGTCCTTTTCTCTTCCAGTGACCTATTTCAAGTACTTCTCTTTAAGCAGACATTCTGCCTGCAATGTAAGTGCAATAGGAATGGAAGCTGCTGCTGAAAATTGAAATACATTTCTATATTGAATGGATCTCTGTATCCTCAGTTCCTGATTTGACACATACTTAAATATGTGTTATTTTTAATGAGAGGAAAAAAACAGTCCTCAATTTAATAACTTTTTTTTTTCTGGTTCTGATTGCATCTGTTTATGTGCAGTTTCTACGTCCACTGTGATGCTCATGGGCTCTACTACCCATAACTCATGGGTTATAGGAAGGGGGGAGGCTGGGAGCCACAGCGTTAGGCTAAATCATCCACATTGGCCACAGCGGGATCCTTCACCTATTTTCTGAAACATTTAGTTTCACTTTTTTTCCCTCTGGATCTGACCCTCACAGCTCAGTGTGGGTAATCAGCCCCCTGCTTCTTCTGTAGCTACTAAAAACTGGGGGAAAATAAACATTTCCTTTTTAAACCATTATTGCAAAAGCACAGCCATGGAACACTGGAGATTCACTCATGATGTAAGGGCAATTCTCATCAAGTGACACTCGGGCATTTAGATTCTTACCTTCAGAATTAAGAACAGTATATTTTCTTAATCAAAAAAAAGAGAAACTGGAAAATGAGGCAGTTCTGTTTCCGTGGTTTCAGAGTAGGAATTCAGGTATTGAAATCTCAGCTTGTGGTGTTACCATCCTAAAATCACTTATGCAAGGAACTCTGATGTGAAATAATAAAGATTAGCATTCAAGTAAGCAAAGGAAGAGTCTTTGGGAAAGTGATTTTTTCTCCAGTGGTACCCAAAGGAAATGATCTCTACATGGCAAGATAGTCAAGCAATGAACTTTTAAAAAACTGTTATTGCAGGACATCTGCAACATGATTTGCCATCACACATCATCTTAAGAGCACTTGAGAGCTTTCCCTTGCAGCTCCCTTAACAAAATACCCTTCCAGTTAGTGCTTCTACGCCACTCAATTCAAAATTAAAAAGTTTAGACAATCAAGCAAAAGGTGAGATCTGCTGTTAGTGGCTGCTCAGTTCTGCCCTTCCTGCATGCTGACACAATTAGGCAGATACTTCTTTAAAGCAGTCAATACCAAAACCAAGCCAGAATTTACCCAAACATCCAAGGCAGTATTGCACCACACAAACTATGAATCTGCTGCTCTGTTTCTTGCTGAATCCACGGATATAAAATTAAATCCCATTTTCTTCTTTCTACCAAGGAGGTATTAGAACAGACATTATTGGCTGAGAACATAATCCTGCAATGGTACCACATCCAACTCATCCAATTTTCTTATGAAATTCAATGGTTTTCTTAAGCTCCAGCTTTCTGCATCAACCCATTGCATAAGGAGCTCAGCTATTCATTTCAGCAGAACTGAAGTCCAGCCTTGACTCGGGTACACACTAAAGGCTCAAAAAACCCTACATACACAACTGTCAAAGTTATTGCTCATTTTGGAGGAGAAATTGTGATTTTTGAATGCCACTGACAGTGAAGGCATTGAGTATTTCAGAGGGGAATGGAACACTGACAGAGAAACAACTCAGCATCCGTTGGCTTTGCTGGAGGAAGACCTGTTCTGAGCAAACACATTCACTGCTCCTTATTCACCCATCTCTCCCTTCTGCACTCCTCACAATTCTCAGAGATTAATCTGGAAATGAAGTTGCCTTTTTGTGAGTTTTTCCTCAAGTTCCCCCTTTCCTATAAAGGTTTTATCTGCTTTGCTGTTGACTTGATGCCGTTCTGCTTCAGAAATTCTGCTCAACCTCAGCTCTTCCAATAGCACAAAAGCAGTTCTAAGAGCCCTTAAAGACATCATTAAAAATTTTATTTCCATGCCTTTCAAAGCCCCTAGAAATACATATTGTATTACATGCCATCATCGTAAACAGCATTTCTCTTAATGCAATAACCTCAGTCTAATCTTTCGGCAGTGTGAATATTCTAAAAGGAAGGTTTAAAGACGTGGGTGCTAAATAAATTAAAGTGAGCTAAGGGAAGGTGCTTTATAACTCTAGAAATATTGCAAGCATTATTTAAAGTAGTTAATATTTTTACAGCCTCGTGAATGCTCATCTCTGGGAAATCTCAGGTAGCAAATATAGTTTTAATTCTCAATTTTAGTTATCACAATCTGGAACTGTAAATTAATTTCAACACTATAAAAAGTAATAGAGACGTTTATTTTCCTAAGCAATCTGGCTTATTCAGCTGCAGACTAAATCTGAATTAACAGTTCTGATATGCTGAATACAAAATTAGTAATGATGTGAAACACAAACGACAACAGTACCTGCTGGAAGAGTTATGCTGGAGTCCAACTTTTTCTCATTAATAAACTTCATTACTATTTAAAAAATTATACTGAGCTTTCTAACTGGCACTTGAGTGCTCTCCTGGAGTCTTTCCTATAACAAATGACACCATCTGCAGTATTGTTATAGCCTAAACGTACTTCCTCCTTTGGGGATGCATTAAATGCAGGATTCTGACAACTATCATATTTGCATAACCAAGAACTAAACTAAGGTAAAAACTTGGGAAAGTCATGGGATGTGATGGCCAGCGTTCATTCCAGGGAGGGAGGTGAAGTTACAAAAGCCTTAGTTTAGTCATCAGAAAATAGAAACAAAAGGGATCAGTGCGGAAACCACAACACTGCCTAGGAACGGAGTGTGATTCAAAGAAAATAGCGCTGTTCAAGAGCCATTGGTGTCAAAGAAGAGCTTTCCTCAATTATATGTTGAAGACTTGTTCATATACAGGAGTATTTTTGTAAGTCTACGTACAGGAGTGACATGGGAAGAGATGAAACAGTGCAGAGGCATGCAAGACTGAAAATAGGACCAAGAAGGAAATGAAGCAGCTTAGATCTACGGGAGGTCTAAGAGCCTTGAGAAAAAGTAGCTGCCAGTGTCTGATCCTGTTGTGTATTAGCAAACAGCACTGTTACTCTTTACGACTGATCTCCCTAAGAAAGAAGGTATTGCCAAAGAAAGGTATTGTCTTTGTCTCCCTAACAGAAGCAACCCACAAACCCCTCCATCTACAGATCAGATTCATCTACAAATTACAAGTTCATCAACAAACGAGCGTTACTGCAATGGCCAGACTATGCAGCTGATGATTTAATTACAGGTATGATGACTACATTCAAGTGAAGAGTCTGAGTATACTGACGCCTGTGAAAACCTTGCAGGGAAGATGGGATGATGGGGTTGGCAGCTCCAATGCTCCGAAGAACTCAACCCAGCCACGCTGCCCTCATGCTCAAAGTCACCTGAAAGCCCTCACAAACAGGAGTTGAATCACTCTGTACTCGTGGCATTAAACAGAAGTCAAAGCAAATAGCAAAGCAGGAAAAAAAAAGAAAAAAAAACTTCTCCAGGATTAATAATGAATATCTTTAACTTGAGAGCTTGCAGACAAATCTGTCCCATTGCTGGGGATGCTGAGGGGCTGGCCCACCCCCCTCCTCCCTCTCCCTCCCCACATCCCGCTTCCACCCCCCAGTAAACTGCTCTAATGCAAACCTTGCTTGAAAAATACATGGATGTTTTAGTTCAATTCTGCAGAAGGAGTGCCAGACATATCAGGTACCTCTGGTAAAGCAGTACATGGTGTGCTTCCTATGCTGATATCTCCCTTCCTTGGAGGACAGATGTCTTCCTGCCACTGCTTGCAGGGCTGAGAGAAGCGCACAGCTCCAGGCAACCACAAGCGATGCTGGAAGCCTTAAGAAACACTGGAGATTGCACTGATTAAAAACCAATGGTGTAATTTGACCGGGGACATTTAATTTTATTAAATGCCAAGCTGTGTACCAGCACAGACCAGAGTGCTTATGAATCAGTAATTGTTGGCAGGCTCATTTTATTTAAAGTTGGGAACTGCCACAAAGTGACCATATTTCAGTTGATATCTTTAATTTGGGAAAAGAAAAAAAAAAAACAAAACTAAGTTGTAGGGAATGGGGTGATGATAACCATGGCCATGATTTCATTTCACAGGTGCCTTTGAGTTGTTTTATTGAGATGTTTTATATACAAGTTTTAAAGTACAAGGTGTGTTATCATTTTATTTCCTCAGAACCTCTAATAAGCTGGAAAGCCAGCCAGGTATTTATAGAGGGATATATTTATAGAAGAAATCTTCCAGTGACTGGAGAGGGGGGAAAAAATGGAGAAGCACACACCACTCCTAATGTAGAGAAATGACTGGGAGCTCATACTTATGAATATAGTGCCATAGCTAAATTAGATAAATTATTATGGGCCCTAGATACCAATGTCTGCTGCTATACACTGCCTGCTGCAGAATCAGCCTTTTGATTTTTCTTCTCAGGGAGAGAAGGGAAAATGAAAAATGTATTACTCTTTTCATTACACAGCTTTCTATTTTCTGCTCCTTATATAGGCTCTTATGTCTGTACCTACATGTGCATAGATATGCACGCTTAGTTACCAGCTTTTATTTTTAATTTCCTTGCTACTGACTGCACTCATCTCCTGTATGTGTGGGAAATGCTGGTGCCCCAGTGCTGCTCCACCACCAGGTACCAGCGGGCAGCTCCACCTACACTGCTTTTGGACTGGTATATTTATTCTGAGAATGAAGCCTACTGTAGCTCCATAAAACCAAACCCTTTTCTTCAATAAATGCATGACTCTATGACTCCTTCTTTGGGGAGTTTAGACTTTAGGAAGCTAATTCAAAAGCCACCTGTGACTCAGGAGCCTGGGAGGGTCTCTCTAATAGAGAGCATCTCCAATTAGAACACTGTGGGTGCTCATAGATGTTCTCTACGGAAGATATTTCTTGAGCCACGATGATTTTACTTTACAGATTTCACCACATAACACATATACATAAATAGGTATAGCAATGCTGCCTTGTAAACCTCATGCTGAACAGATTACACAAAATAAGATTTAAAATGCTCCACTCCATACGTAATTCTGAGATTTCTTACAACTGCAAACGAGCATGAGACAGAATGGTGCACAAACTTCAGAACCATTCTTTTTGGAGGTGTCAGAAAAACCTCCTTATTTCCAATAACACTGAAGGAACATTATTACCCTGTAAGGCAGCATAAAGCTGCATGTGTGCACAGTGGGATGGGAGAGGGTGTAGGGAAGCAGATACTTTCCTCCCTATCAGCCACAGTTATGCAGAAGGAATCAAACCTGGAACTTCTTTCCCCCACTCTGCACCACAGTCTGCCTCCTACTTCCTCTGCTAGGAGCAGGAACACAGAAAAGTAGTTCCAGCTCAGCCAGAGGATGATTTTTATCAGCTCATTTTAGTCAATAAAGAATGGAGTCAATCACTCTTAGAAAACAGCACTTTGCAGTCCTTGTATACCAGGCCAGTACAATCACAGAATAAATCAATAACCACATTCATCAATGCAATGTAAACTGCTGATCTCTGTGGATAAATCGTACCAGTGTAAGAAGGCCCTCAAATAAATCCCAAACCCCCTCAAACTGCATAGGTCTTAAATCTGCTGAGTGCAGAGGGACACGTGAAAGATTTGCCATGTTTCTCTTTAAAATCTGGAAGATGTCTCATGAAATCCGAGGTGGGGTTTTTTTTGGTATCTCACTCTTTGCGTCTCAGAGTTATTCCAATTCATTTTTTAAGGACAGGATAAATCTATAGACACTATTCAGCACTGAAATATATTGGCATACATAGAATAGGTTAAGCAAAGAAATAATACCCGGCAGCATTATTAATATGACATTCTAATTGCTACAGGCACACACATTTTCAAGTACTAAGTGCTATGAACTGATAAAAAAAAAAGTTTAGACTGAATGATTGAAGCCATTTAGAAGCCTTTATTGTACCATGCTGTCAAAATGTCCAGGTGACCTTTTCTACATGGTAAATTTAACCAAGAAAGATTTTATACAAGCTGTTTTAATAGCAATGTTTCACCCCTCCTCTCCCCCCCCCCCCTTATAGTTTTGGGATTAGATAATGGTCAAATCAAGAGAAATGCCACATCTTTGTACATACTCTGAAGATGATTGGGTCATTACATGCCCAGTCTCTGCAACTTGCCTATGTTTTTAGGCAGAGAGATATTTCTGAAAGCATATGTACAAATGCATGAAAGCTATGCTGTTCTTCCATAACAATCCTTTGCTAGGTGGCAGCGCTCCAATAATCCACTCAGTGGCAGAAGACAGCACACAGATATCTGAGCCCAACAGAGCCACTCCTCAGGACAAACAATGCAAAGATGGTATTTCCATAGTGCCCACACTTGGAAGATCTCACCACATTTGTACCAACATTTCAACAGTCCACTGCAAATATTATCATACCTCAAACCACATTCACCCAAAGGCCATAGCGGAGCTGCATCTACATGAAGCAATGCAAGCTTCCAGACTACTGATATTTAAGAGCACTGAGATGCACGGGACCGTACCTTGGACATGCAGATACCAGAATGGAATAAAGGCAGTAGGGATACTCCTTGTAGAGCAAGATTCTGGATAGCTTTTACCCAGGGAAGTGCAAAGAGCACATGGACACAAGTTCTCTTTTAAGACTAAATAGATAAAACCTGTGTCAGCATCCTCAGCCACCAGCGCAGTGCATGCCAAAGCCTCTCTGAGCAGATTAATTCTGGCTTCTGCACAGCAGATCGTTGTGGGAAATTCTCTGTGACTGCAGTACATTCAGATATTAATAAAATCTTTCTCTGCTTTTGCAATGTATTTATACATAAGTGTGATTTAGAGCTCTGTGTCAAGTCCTCTCTAGCACTGCATTCCAATGACCTGCAAAAAAACCAGGGTGTTTCTGCACATCAGGGTAATGCTGATTTAGGGGTTGGTACAATAGCACACATGGGCTATTTTATTTAGTTTCTTGGCATTCATATTCAGAAATTGCTCTATAAAGAATGGAGGAGGCATTAAAGAAAGTTTAAATGATCTTAAATCACAGTGAAACATTGCATTTGGAACCAACTGAAACATTTGGATAGACTCAAAATTGCTTTTTTTTTTTTCCCCCCAGGGACAAATGTTTTGTTGATGTATTAAATTTAAAATGAAAATCTCTGACTGTGACTGGCTTTAGTTTTTTGCTACTTTGCTTATGTCATCAAAATATAATAGATCTTACTTTTCCTGCTGTTAGAAATCTCAGTCTTGTCTTGCATTTGATCCTATGCTCTGAAATCTGGGAGGACAGCGCCCAGCATTTCCAGTATGGGGCAAATAAGTGGGGTTGTTTTTGTCTTTCCCTTCTCTGTCATCTTCCTCTTGACTTCTAGTTTTAGGGAGTGCATATTCTTATTTTCAAATGTTTTCTACAACTGCGAGTAACAAAACTATTTTTGCAAGTTTTTTTTCTCCCTCCTCCAGTCAACCAAACTCTTTCTATTTCAGCACCAGATGTCTTAATAACATTTGATAAATATATAAGATGAAATCATTTAAGCTGGCTACCTGGCTTTTTCAACATCGTTCTGTAAATTGACTCCAGTTTCATTTGGACGCTTATTTTAGTGAAACAAAAAACAATGATAGGAAGAAGAGAACATGGGCCTCCACAATTTAACAAACTTCATTCATTAAGAGAGAGTAGGGGGGTCATATTATTATTTAATGGCATTCTTTTTAAGACTGCTTAGAAGCTGTGTTTTAAGGCATTCTCCTCTTGTTTGAGTTTCTCAACGCTAGGTAAATCTACTTTAGGAAGCACAGCAGCAGAACAAAATAGTGAATTAGATCAATTTAAGTTCTGTTTGCTGAAGTAAACATCTCCTAAGGGAAAGAATGAAAAGATTATTTGCTAGAGCTGCGTGTCTTGCTTGGTTTTAGTAATTATGATGCCAAACACCTGACTCCCCCAGGCAGAGAGGGGAGCACTTGGCCACAACAGTGGAGCAGAGTCCTACGATAGGCACTGTCCATATGGTGGCTCATGGAAGAGCTAGGAAACAGAAGCTGTAACAATCACTGATTATTGCCTTGATTTTTCAAGGGTCCTTCCTGCGTAAATACATGTGCATATTCCTCAACTGGAAGTTGCTAGGTGGAATAGTTACTTGGTAATCCACTTACGTTCCAGCTCTAAGAAAGCCCAGCAAAAGAACAGCTTTATTCAAGTCAGCAATCTTCCAGTTCCTAGGGTTTTCCCTTGATTTAAAAAGGGGATTCTCCCACAGAAATAACAGAATAAGACAAACGTAGAAATTATGAGGTCAAACACAGGGAAAGAGCCTGATTTGAAAATTACCTCTTAGAGAGAGAAAAACACCTTGCAAGGAAAATCAGTAATGCATGCAGAAATGAAAACAAATCTTAAGGAAATGTTTCCTTGTTTAGCTTCACTGCAAAGAAAAACAATCTTCATTAGGGTATTAACAAGATTTCTAAATACCATATCCACTTCATTCTACACTCTTCTACTGAAAGCTGTGTTAAACCTCTTCCTAGTAACTCCTGCAATTAGTATCTTTGTAGAAATCTCAGAGGACAGGCTTCTAAAAGCAGCATTATATTTTTAGAACCTCCCTGTAATTAATCATCTATCGGTCCTCCTATATAGTTCTACACAACTGCTCTGCAGAAAGTATTTCCTTCCTTGAATGAAAAAAAATCTTTTTGTTTAAGCTTAGTGAAAGAATCACATTTATGTTATAAAACATAAGAGTTTAAGTTACATTTACTGAAAAAAAATAGCTCTTGCTTATTGGATGATAAAAAATCTGCATGCAGGCAAGCTGCAATGGTAGCAACAAGCTGCTGCTAGAGACCTGCTGGGATGGAATGATGCAAAAAGCTCTGTCAGAGCTCCACTGCTGTGGTCATCTTTTTGAAACATTACGTTAAATTCAGTATGAGGTATTGAATATCACCAGATACAAATAAAATTTGTTTATCCACAAAGAAGAAAAGCCCATGATTCTACACTCAATTCTGTAGCCACAAGAACATGAAATACACTCTCCTGGCTTTGATAGCATCAACAGAAAAAGCAAATATTTAACAGAAAGTGCAATTCCTAGTGAAATACCTTGTCCTAGGGATTTAACATCCTTTTCATCCTCTGGAGTACTTAAATCAAAACCGAATATCGTTCCATAATGCATGCTCTTGCTACGTGTTTATTATTTATGGTTTTACTTTGTCAGAGCACGTGGAGTTCTCTCAGCACATCAGTAATGCCAGGCATCAAAATGTTGGTAACTTCCCATACAACTTCATATTTTAAGGGCAATATCTATGAAGAAAGGCTGAGGGAGTTGGGCTTGTTTAGCTTAGAGAAAAGAAGGCTCCAGGGAGACCTCACTGAGACCTTTCTGTACTTGAGGGAAGCTTATAAACAGGAGCAGAGCAACTCATTACACGGTCTGATAGCAATCGGCTTTGGGGGAATGGCTTTAAACTAAAAGAGGGGAGGTATAGGTTAGATACTAGGAAGAAATGTTTCACTCAGATCTGCAGGCATCCCATCTCTGGAGGAGCCCAAGACCATGGATGAGGCCCAAGGCAGCCTGAGCTGGGGGGGGGGGCAGCCACCCCACAGCAAGAGATTGGAACTGGGTGATACTTAAGATCCCTTCTAACTTAAGCTATTCCATGATTAAGACTCTTGCTTCCATCTTAGCCTCCATACCAAATCTTTTATCAAGCTTTTTAGAAGATTATCATGCACAGGTTAAAGCATATTCTTCTGCTCATTCATGTGCATACACACTGCCATCTCCCTTTGAGCCCTTCTTTTTTTTCAGAAGTATTGGGGTAGGGAAGGAATTGGATTAGTTTGTTGTTGCAAATGGTTACAAAGATGAGACAACACATTTGTCAGTAATGAAAACAGACTTCAGAACGTAGTGGGAAGGATGAGAAGTCCCCTAGTAGTGATGTGAGATAACATCACTTTTACAGGATGTTGTTAAAGCTGACAGCAATATGACTTCATGTTTTGAGCTCTATCTATTCATTTGAAAGTCATGCTTACTCTGGTGTTTAATTTTACATTCTAATAACTCAATAGATTGAAGGGCTTAATTAGATGCTTTTATTTACATTTCAAGATGATGAAAATCAGAGTTCTTCTCATTTACCTTCGCACCCATACCAGAGATGAATCTACACTTTCAACCTACGGCAAAGAACAACAACACCAGCTGAAGAATAACTAAACATGATAGAAGCCAGATATGTTTTAATCTCCCCTTAAAAAAAGTTGTTGATCAGAACAGCCTTAGCATCAAACAACCTTTTAAAGCGTGTATCTCAAATCATAAAAGGTTCTGCCTTGTCCAAACCTGATTCAAGGCTTGCTGGCACCATTGAAGCTCTCTTAAATTCAAAGGTTTGGGATTGATCCATATACCTCCTTTTAACACGGCGTATCTTTTCAGAAGAAAACAATAAAGCATTGTTCTGCTCATAAAGAAGCAAAATTGCTTTTGACAGGATCTTAGAAACACCAGCCAAAGCATACACAGGTAAGCCAACAGCCACGTACAAAAAAAAAAGAACTGCACTCACCCAGTTGGTGAAAGGGATCCCTGTGTAGGTAGCATACCTCCTCAGGAAGCAGCCTAAATCCAAGAGATGCTCTCCTTCCAGCAGTGGCCCTTATCTGAGCCCAGGGGGCCTCTACCCCTTCTGGTTAAATGGGAGTACAGGTGCAAACAATTTGCCTGTGTTGTCTGGGCCAGGCACACCCCTTCACCAGGTGTTCAATTACCAGTTGAAGCCCTGAACTAACAGTTCCCCTACAAATATACTTCATAAAATGCATTCTGTGGTAGTTCCTGTAATACCAAAAGTAAACAACTAACTGTTATTTATTTGAAATGTTTTTTGGTGGCTTTTGTTTAGAGGTTACATTGAAGAACGTGAGATAATTAATATCCACATCACAAGCAATTTCAAGTCTCTTCTCAGTTTCCTCCTGGTGCAAATCTTCCACATTTACCATACCGTTAAGTTGGAGTTTCAGTAAGAATTAGTAAAAAAAAAATTGAGATCGCTCTTTTCACAATTTCAAGTTATATGTGGTACCTATGTATCTATGAATTTCAAAGATTACATTTTTAAATTAATGCATTATTAATATTTACATTTCCTTATATGTGTACAATCTCTGTCTCCCCCCCCCCCCCCCATCCCCACTATTTTTCTTTACAGGAAATTTTGGTTGTGATAAAGTATTAAGACAGAATCTACAGGTAGTTCGATTTTTAGAGTCCACTGCTTCAGTCATGAAGGAAAAGAGTATATAAGAACAAAACTCAAGAGTAGGATCCCAGATGTCAACATATGCAGTTCTCTTGGAGACAATTTTATTCCTCCGGAGCTTAAACCTATAAAGATATAAGCATAAAAATAAGGAAATTTCTATCCAAAAACATTTTCCTATGCAGTCTAGTCTAACAATGTTCTTTTACAAAATATCTGCAAAATAAAATATCCAAAAGATGGGTTCTTCTTATTCACTTTCAAGTTGTAGCTGCAATTCTAGGGAGTTTTGAATGGCCTTCTCATGCCTGCACATAGATATCTGCTTGCAGGAGGGTTTGGGTTGGTAAATTCTAACTCAGGGTTCCATTCTGCATGAGTAATAAGAGCAGAGCCTGGGCACCTGAGCTAGCTGTGGAGTGCAGCTGAGGAGATCTACCTCGGTGTATGCAGCAGCTCCAGATCAGATTAAATCCTGCAGCGTATACAAAAGCTGCAGAGTTGAGTTCAGTAAGAAAGCTTATGTCTCTGAAAAGCATTACAGGTAAGGTCACATCAAGATGTTGTGAAGCAGTTTCTCTACTACTGAACATGGGAAAACTGGAGACTAATCTACGTTCACCCAGTAGTACAAAGGGAGGTCAACAATGGTAGCAAAAACTCTGTTAATCCTTTTTAGAGGCACACAGATTTCTTATTACACACTGATATTCAGAGAAAGGAAATACAATCTCATGTACTTGATATTTTCGGGATCCTAATTTCCTCGCTGCTGCTGCCATCCCCACCATCACTGATGGTTCTTATTTCTATGAGATAATCTTCTTCAAATGGCACCAGGAGTTCAGCTGAAGTGTTGTTTGTCTCCAGTATATGAGCTTTGCTGTGTCTGTTTTGTCTGTACAAAATCTAAGCAAAAAAGGATTAGGGAACAGAGGTTACTCAATTACTTCAAGTTTTATGTTGTTCTTTACACAGCTGAGAAATGAAAGGACAGAAGTTTGGACAGTAGCATCTGGGTTTCCACTTAGAAAGCGCATTTGTGCAATTAAACATGATGGACCCAGTGCCTGCCTTCACTAATTTATCTCTGGGACAAGGTGTGAAGCAGCCCTGAGCCCACATGCCCTGGGGAGATGGAGATCCTACAGACTGGGCCTTCTAGAAAGCCTTTCTTCTTCATTAGCACTCTTGACTTTTTACACAGTTACGATAAAAAGAGCAATTGAAGAGCAAAGCAGAAGGAGAAATAGAGTTAATGGAGATTGTATGGAAAATACTGTGTTGAGAACTTAAAGCACTTCTCTCCACAACAAAATATAACAGGCAGTTATAACTGAGAAGCAGATATATAAGACACAAGGGAAAAGAGCTTAAAAGTCTGATTTTAATGTCTTCCCCAGTATGTGGGGCTCAAGCACACTAACTAGGCTGTAAGATGATGTGATATCAAGAATAATTACAAGGTAGACACTTAAATGCTGAGCAACACAAGGATCTTGATCCTGACAACCTTTCCCCATTTAAGTGCTCTCCACAGCCATTCTGACCACTTTTTGGGTCTTCCAGAAAGTCTTTGGGGGTTAGAGACACTGCAAACAAACTTTAAACTAAACGTTCCTGTTCTTAAAAAGCAGATTTATAGAACTGTTTTTTACTTTACCCACATTGATCTTTATGTGAGTGCCTTCCATTCTATTTTCAAAGTTATGATTATGAATTGTCAGAGTAAGGACTTTTAAACATATTTTATAACATCTCTTTAATTTTTAAGAGGCTGTTCTCTATTTCTTACAGGCGTGTGAAACTCCTTCAATGCAAGAACATTACGTAAGTAACATTACAAGGGAAAAAGAAGAGGAGCCCAGTAATGGGAATAGAAAACTTTCGTGTTGGAATAAAGATGTCCAAATCCAAATGAGATATTCTTCCATGCATTATATAAATGTCAGCCAACCATCCCAGTGACTCCATAAAATTCCCCTTTTCATGAGTAACGAAGTCACATACCAACAACTCACTTTTTTCACCTCTACTAAAAACAACACGTATGATTAACAAGATAAAGCAATGACTTACTTTGTATCCTAGCACCTCTGATTCATTCTCCATTGTTTTCACGTGTTCCCAATTCAAGCAGATTTTGGAATTTGTCAGTTTCCATGTGATATTTGCTGGAGGTTGACTGGGAGCTTTAAAAAAAAGAAAAAGAAAGAAAAGAAAAGATGATGATAATCACAAGATACAACTTTATATTACTTAATCGCAAGATACAACTTCATATTAATTTGCATAGTGTAATTGAATGAGACTCTGACATGGAAGTAGCAAATGCATGGGTGATTCAAGTCTAAAAGAGTGAAAAATATTTTCCAATTCATCATTGCTCTCTTATTAGTCAGAATACAGATCTATTCATAGCACAGAACCACTTACTGTGTGTTCATTTTGGAAATTAGGCAAAGCCTGACAGTGCCTGACAGTTCAAGTTACATTTGATAGATTTTATTTAAGTATTATGTTGTTCCTATCTATCTTTTAATGGACTACAGAATGTTTTGCTGTATGGATTTCAGAAAAAAAGTTGAAACTAGGAGCAGAATACAAAAGGCTCGATTTTCATCGGCCATGAGAATAGGCTACAAAGAGTTACACATTAAAGTCTCCATGTGATCCATCATGAAACGTTGCAGATTTTATAAATTCTCAGTATAATAGGCCGAGGGTAGGTTTTCAAAGGTTTTTCATGCCTAAATGCCAGGACTTTGAAAATTTGCCTACGAGTGACAGAAATCGAATCCTGTGTGAACGTGTGAAGTTGAAACTGTGCCTTTGAACTGACTGTCTCAGATATACATCATCTCCATCTCCACGGTGTGCTCCCCAAATCCGGCCTGGGAGGAGAGTGCCAGGGGTGTCAGAGGAAGTAAGGATTTGAAAATAATTGAGAAAAGACAGGAGAGATCTGGAGAACGGGCTTCTGGTTTGTAAGGGTCCCAGGCCTGACTTTAAAATGTTAAACTTCTGGGATTCTTCTTCACTCCCTACAATTCCTACATACCGATGGTTAGCATGCATAACTCAGAAGGTACTGCAGACTTGGTAATACTCCATCATCTGTTTATTTCCCACACAGAGAGAATGAATCAATGGCATCTGTTGTTATGTATCTATCTACTTCTGGACTGTGGGAAAGTTTAATCCACCTCACTGTCTGGAAAAGGAGGTGTTACTGGGTCACTCAGGTGAATCTAAGCAAATGTCCTTCCATGAACAGTAAGTCCATACTGGATAAAGATTCCTTTTATTTTGAGTGCATTCACGTGCATAAAACCACAAATCTACTTAAATTTTGTTTGAAACTTCTTTGCTGCTTTCATAAAATGTTTTAGGTAAGGAATTTCGACATAAAACATGCATAAGATATAAAGGATGTCAAATTTTTAATTGATTGGGTACTTTGAAAACGGACGCCCTCAAATATGGGTGAATATCATCTTACTAAAAATCTTTTAACATAACACTTAAAACCATCTAAATTCCCAAGCTTTAGGTTGGAAAAAACACCACTGGGTGACTTCCTAAGCTGAATTATCCGGTTTACATCTACAGTCAAGGACCAGAATAGGCAGTAATGGATAGCCCTTTCCCAAACCCACAGTGATACGCATAAACAAGAACACTGTGAACAGCTCCTTAGATTTAAGATGACCAGTCCTTTCCACAACTAATTTCTTACCAACTTTATCAAGAACATTCGATAATCTTAAGTAAATTAAGCTAATGAAGTTACTTATGTTTTAGGAAACCCTTGCAGGTTTTTTGAGTTGAAGTTTATACTTGCAAAGTATTTCTAATATGTACATCTGTTGAAATATGCATTAGTAATTAAAAAGCAGTGAAATCCCTTATAATCATGATGACATGTAAATAAAGTAAGCAGAAGAGCTGAGCCTTCTAACTCTTCCTGGTGGAGCATATTCATCATTTCTACTTTCCTAAGCAGTAAACTTACACCATGAGATCAACTTAGACATTGAACTGATCTTAGATGTTTCAATCAGAAGTGCACCTATTTGGCTAAAGGCCCATTGTACTTTTAAGTTTTGCTTAGTCTATTCAATAATGCCACGTATAGAACACTAGGAATCTTTGGCAATGAGTGTGAAGACAGAGCTATTTGCTTGAAGCCAAAGCTCCTGATGTAGATGTGTATCGTTTACATGCTCTTGATGCACTGTCTCTTCTCATATTGAAAATGCCTGCATCTTTCAGAAATGAAATCAAAATTTTAATATATGTTTTTAAGTATTAAATAGGTTGTTTTGACTTTAATTTTTAAACGAACTATTAGCACCATCCTGAGTTTGAGAGAAGATGAAATCAATGTAGATCAAAATCAAATTTGTCCCGTTTTTGTTTTGCTTCTTGACTGATGTGCCTTTATCTTTTCTTTCATACAAGTATACATACAAATACAGAGAATCATTTCCAGAGATGAGTCCATTTCACATTGTCTGTCAGAAAAGCCTTCCTTGGAATTTTACAAAATATTTTCTTTGGCTTTATTTTGGCTTATGCTATCTACATTAAATTTTATCATGAACTCATTTAAGTAGTTAGCTCCTGTCCAGTACTTTAAAGTAATAACCTAGAGTAATACATGGATAAGAGGACGAATGAGGAGAGAGAGAAGATTCCTTTTTTTGTGCAAAAGTGCTGATAAATTGGGAAAACATAGTCCACTGAAAGTATAAAAAAAGTAGGGCATGTAGATTAGCAAGATTTCCTATTTTGCTGTTAGTGAGCATTTCCTTTACAGGTTCTATCCTGCAGAACAGCACTCCTGTATTATCTCAGAGGATGGCCTCATGAAAGCCTACATTTCACATAGCTTTTATTCTCACAAGTAGAAAAGCATATGTTTTTGCTTCTAAAATTACAGGGAATTTAAGCAGCTACTGATTAAATAGTATTTAAGTGAATGTGTCACATACGTTCCCCTCTGCATGGCACAATTCAGAGGACCCCAGAAATATCTGGAGAATGTAAGAGTTTCCTTAAAAGAAAAATTAAAAATAAAATAAAATAAAATAGAAGCCACAATCCCATACCCAAATCTACAGTTTGACCTGTGGAACATCTTTCCTTAATGGACTTTGAATCTCTTTTGAAATTTCCTGAAAGCAAGTGGCACACTGTTGCATTTGAAAAGAAGATCCTTCCTAATTGTTGCTACTGCTGTAGGAACAAAAACACCCCTGTTATCTTGTTTTGCAAGTGTAGAGAATTACCTGAGCACATAAGCAGGATAGGGTAAAAGAAATAACCTCAGGGCTGATTTCAGTCACTGGGAACTGTAGCTTCCACTGAGACAGCGCTGAACACCAATCTAAACACTACATTAGCATCTTGCATACCAGAATCTGAACAAACTAACTCAACGTTGACCACAAAATTAGGAACCAAGAGACAGAGAAGTTTCTCAGTCACAGACTTCACTGCTTAATTTTATGTAGAAATTTGGGATCCCATTTTCCTTGGTACTGCAACATTTAGCAAGCTGGGTCATGGTAAGCTGAAATGTCACTATTCCACCTGGGAGCCTGCAACATTTGTTGTAAGAAATTGAATACTCACGTGACTTTTTAGTGGTGACATTTACCGGGGCGCTGGAGGGCCCCATCCCTGCTGTGTTGTAAGCCCGAACTGTTGCAAAATACACTGTGTTAGCTTTTAGGCCTGTGATATTTTGGGCTGTTATGTTCCCATTGACTCTGACTTTACCAGCTGTGCTTTCCTTGGGATCATCTGTCCAATATAAAACCTGAAAAGCCAAAACAAAGACAAGGCATTTCATTGTTTTAAATCAAGTACGGGTTTGGCTGGCAAGTAGACAAGCTGCCAGTGAAGATTTCAAGGAGTACTGGATTTTTCATATACAAAACTAGCAGGAAATAAAACCAAGCATGAATATTTATAGAGAAGAAATAAAATTTTAGAAACAGAATACAAATTAAGAAAGCAAATGAAATCCTTATAGAAGTCCAAAAGGAAAACCTTGATAACATAAGATATTTTAAAAGCTTTTTGGTTTTAAAGTTTGAACAGATTAAAGAAATTTTTTTTAAAAGATACAAAGAAACACTTATCTACATCATCTAAGAGGATTTTAATTATTTTGTATCCTGTCTAATTTTCGGTCTGTAACAGCCATTAGACATTCTTTGTTTTTAATGAATATTTGATTTGGAAGGTTTGGGTATTGCTGCTCGTTGTAAACAGGATCGAGAAGCTCAAAGCCCTTCAAACACACTGCAGCAGAAGCTTTGGTTAGTAATAACGTGCATTCTCTTCTGTAAGGAATGATGGAGGTCATGTGCATGTCTGCTTAATATCAGCTTCCCCCATCATGCTCAGGCAGTACTAAAGCTGTGTAAGAGGAGGGAGGATCAACCTTGTTTTGTGGAATCAAGAACCCAGCACAAGTCCTTGTACAGTGGCCATCACAAATGATTAATCTTGAGGTTTTAATTTACATTACAAAAAGGCTGGGTGAGAACTGTAGTCCTGGTCTGTAAATGCTTGTGATTATCTCAGGTGAAATGCTGTTAATGAGAGTCAGGTGAAGAGCCGCATTATCTGCTGACTTGGCAGCAAGGGAAGAAGAACCAGAATACCAATGTGGCTGGGGAAGGGATGTCTGCAAAGTGCCCAATCCCAGCCCCAACCCCCATCCCACCCCAACAACAACAACAGCAGCAGCAGCAGCTGCTGCTACCACCTCACCTCATAGCCCAGCACCCTGCCTGTGTGCCTGTTCCATGCAATGGGCTGCCAGGAGACCTCCACCTCTGCCGCCGAGATGCTCAGTGCTGAAGTGGCTCCTGGTGCTATCTGTGGCTCTGGATCACGAGAGAAAAGGCAGCAAGTGGAGCATTTGTAGCATCAAAAGGGTGTTGCATCAGAAAATTAGAGAGATTCAAGAAAAAGTCAAGACTTTTGGTGGAAGCAGCACGGAGAGGATTGGGAAACCTGGGGTGAATCTTTAGTTTTGCTGCCCGTTTATTGTAGAACAGTAGCAAAACTGTAATTTTCCAAAATTAGTCATAACCTCTAATCTGGGACAGATTTTTAGAGATCATATGTACTGAGTGGTCTGCGCTCTCTATAGATAAAATGTTCTGAATGTCTCCTGCTTTTTCTCATCCTGCTCAGTGGGAGCTCTTGAGACAAGTGTATTGAAACATGCCATCTACTTAAAGTAACTCTGAAAATCTTTTCCTTGCCTTTGTTCCCTCCAAATTCCCATCCTCTGTCCCGTGTCTCCTGAGAATCTGCCATGAGCAGCTTTGCACAGATTTCTTACCGCCCCTATAGAGACCTGCATTATCACACCTGGGACCTACAGGCTGTACACAACCACTACTAGTAAGAGTAACACACTTTACCATCTTCTCCAGAGTAGACAATGGATGTGGATCTCAGGGTCCCTTCTCCTTCATTGTTGTAGACGCCAACTTTCACTTCAAAAGGAGACAGAGGTGTGATGCTTTCATTCCTATAAACATATTTACTTGCTTCTACGGGAGCCACGGCTGCTTTTGTCCACGTTGTTGAGCCAAGAGGACGAAACATAACAATATAGCCAAAACCTTCTCCATTTTGTAGTTCTTCTGGCACTGGCTGTAGTGACAGGGCAGTCAGTCAATAAGCATTTGCAAGTATACACTGTTTTAATTGAATCTTCATTTTCTCAGAATATTTTAGGAGTATTGATTCAGTTGACTGTGCCTTAGAGAAGATAATAATGTTTGCTCCATCAGTCAATGTAATATTGAAATAAAAATCAAAATAATAAATCTATTGAGGCAATCAATTTAGAAACAAAAGATCTGATCAGCTCCATTAAAGTTATTCTCATTCAGGCATGAAGTTTTCAAAATTAAAAGCAATTCACTCAGCACAGTTTATAGCTGAAATTCTTCCCCCAAGGGGCATAGGAACACTAACTTTAAATGATTTTAAAAGAAGGAAAGAGATGGGAAAGGAGCAAATGTATGTAGAGGCACATGTCAGCTGTATAATTGCTTGTGCATGTGTAGAGCACATATATTTTCTTAGAACAAGGGAGAGTTTGGAGTGCACGGAGGTTTTCTTATTTAAGTTTGTTTAGAACAGAAATGTTATTGCAAGCTAACATGACAAAATTAATGTTTCTATTAATAAAATCTCATTTCAAGATATGTATTAATGACTCACACCTAACAGGCAATTCCATCAAGACTGTATCCAGAATGAACACTTCTATTTTCTTGAGAAAAAGAAGTACTTCTATGCTGGCTTTTCAAAGCAAGAGAACATTTGTAAAACAAGAAAAGAACAGCAGTACATGGAGAAAGGAAGTTTTGCCAGCAAAATTCAATTTAATTTGGATGCTTTCATCAAAGCAAGGTGCCCAGAAAAACAGTCATGAAAAATGGTACAAAGGGCAGAACTGCTGCCCCTGAGGTGGGTTCTGGCTCCTCCACCAGGAGTGCTACTGGTGTGAGAAGGTGGGAGGGAAAAATCGGGGAAACATCAGTCGATTTCAGAGCACTGGATTTATTTATTTCTTCATAAATTACTTTTAGTGTGATAGTAAGATCATCAGATTATAACCCTGATCTGACATGCTTAACAAATGTTGTCATCTCTTAAGTGTTTTACAGGCATTAATTCATCAATCTGCCCCCTTCTACTTCCTATCCAGACCCAAGAGAGTCAAACGCGAGCGCTGAGGGTGCAGTGGGGATTGATAAGAGCTCGAGCTACTTTCTAGAGCATTTAGTTTGTTTTTGAGGCTTCTGTGACCTCAGATTTAATCAGAATGTTTAGTGAATTCATCAGCAAAAGCCAGAGAGTCGTATTCAGTGTTGTTTGCTTATTAATTAATATTTTTTCCAACTATTTTTCAGGACACGCCACGGAGTCCAACAGGATAATTTGATCGAGATCTCTCAGGCTGTTTTTCAATTTTCACATTCTGCTCCCAAAGAATAGACTGGTGGAGGAGAAGATGAAACACAACAGAGAAGGATGCATATGGAGGAAAACTCAGTTCAGTAAAAGCCAAGTTTCACTGCTTGGAGAATCGAAAGGGGAAAGCATGGCACTGTTATTTATCTTGTGGAGATTTTGGATTTCATTTTTTTCCTCTGTCTCTTCCCTTCTTCTGACATTGGTTAAATGGGAAAGTTATCAGCATATAGGACGACACAGGTAGATCACTCAGCTGATGAAAAACATCACTTTTAGAATTAATTAATTTCTTTTCCTTTCCTGTAAACTATGGACACAAGGTTGGCCTTTCTTTTGAAAAATAATGAAGTCAAGGAAAATAACTTTTTTTTTTCAATGAATACACATTTTCCATGACTTACAAAGGGAACGTGGTAGTTTTGAAGCCATGGCCCCAGTTGAGAATTAATTGAAGACCACGTGCAGCTCGAGACACACAACTTAAAGTAATTCATTAAAGTAATGAAAAACACCGAGGTTGTATATTGGTTGTTGGCCAATTCATCAGGCTGGAGAAGGAGAGCAACGTCCTTCTTTCTGCACCCCACTCCCTCACTGCAGCTTGTAGGATGGGACCAACAGTTCTGAAATTGCATATTCTCTCCTCTTGCTGGAGTGCTGGAGAATTAAAGGGTTCATCTCCTTTAACACATAATAGGATATGCCTTGTCAGCACAGTGCTCCAGAATGAAAAACATGTAAACAAAAGTATGAAAAACGTTAATGCAGAAAATGGCCAAGCAGATTAGTGTGTTAAGCACCTCCTGTACAATGGAGATAAGAGGGTTATACAGACTTCTAAACATCTTTATAACATGCTTCTTAAGCTGTTTATTTTTATAAATGGTTCACTATAACACAGAAAACTTGCTGTGTATCTTACAGACTGTTTCCTCTCCATATGCAGGATGAATCTCAGGCTCAGCCCAAGCCAATAGCTGAAAGGCTCTGAATTTCAGCTGTGCTGTGATTGTGCCCATAGAATCCCCCATCAGACAGCTTAGGTTAATTGAGTTACCAATTACCTCCCATGTGATGACCAGCTCAGAGCGGCTCCCTCCTCCTCCGCTGACGTTTGTTGGTGCCACTGTGGGAACTGGAGGACAAAAAACACCAGGGCTGCAACAGCCACCACTGCTGGGGGTCTCCTCTACTCCAAGAATAAAGCTTTCCTCCCAGCTCCTCTCACATGCAGCTACTCAGCCATTCAACATGTGCAACAAGGGCTGCATTCTATTACAGTGCATTTTAAGTGAACCAAAGTCATGTTTGCACATTTTCAGGTTTCTAAGGCTGAAGCCACAGATGTATTTGATACATGAGTACCCTGTTCAAAAAATTAATTAAAGAAGCTAGTAGCATCAAGTATTTGACATTATTATGCCTCATCAACTAATTGGCAAAATGCTGTTCCATTCAGACTGTAGCTGCAACACTACTGATTTACTAATTGTGCATTTGTTCAGTAAACATGTTGTTGGAGCAATATATTAATTTTTTTTAATTGGCTGCATGCTTTCCTTAGGAAATTCAAAACTCGTAACTTGCTGTTCTCCTTCTGCCAGGATTGTAAGAAACCCAATGTGCATTGATTTGAGCCTGATTTCCCCAATGGTGCTCCAAGTATGTGGCTGCATAGGTCCATGGGTGAGGTCAAATATGTTGCTGTTTATGCTGTAGAGACTTTCATTTGTCTAATGGCTCTTGGTGGAGAGGCCAAGAAAGTATTTCTTGCCTCTTGCTCCATATCTCAATACACATACTCACCTCATCAGCCTATAAACATTTCTGCTTTCTGGACACTGAACTGTGATGTGATGGATGGGATTTACACAGAGCAGCTTTGTTCCTATAGTATAATTTGCAATAAATTTACTTGTAAGGATGATGTCATGCTGTTTTTCTGCTACTGGAGATGTATTAAAAAAAAGGACAGCTGCACAACTTACAGTGGCAAAAACCCTCATGAGAGGGCAGTTATATTGTTTGCCACCTCCAAACCTTTGCTGATGTTTCAAGATTGTTCTTACCTTCAGTCAGCTTCCACTGCCTAAAAATGGTGCCGAGGTGAGGCCAAAACTTTTTCAGCAGCTCTGGCAAGTTTTGCCATGACTGCCCACCCTTCCCCATGTCTTCCTTCTGGTGTTAAGCACAGCTACAGAAGGAGCAATAAAGGCAACAGCTCTTCACATTCCCAGAAAGTAGGTGAACTGGCTGCCTCTTCTTGGCTGAAACCCCCATCTAAATCTTTACCTGACTTAATTCCCTCTAGAAAAGTAGAGATTTTAAGGTGATTTTGTTGTGTAGTCAGAAAAGGGAGTGAAGTGCAAATGGAACTTCGTTTGGGAGTTTAGTGCAGGTGTTCCATTTTGTCATTCACAATCCATGTCTTTGTGCACATCAGAGATAAATAACCTAAGACTGAAAAGAACATTAAAGGAAAAAAAAACAAAATGGACATTCAAGACCACTACTTTGCTTTTTCACGAGTCAGCTTAGACCAATTCAGTCCGTGTGTTAAATGTGTTCAGCACTTACTACCTTTGCATGGGAAAAAACTGGGTACTAGTGCTCAGCAGAGCCTCAGCTGGGCCACAGGTGAGAAACAGATGAAAAATTACAGTTGAGTGCACCAAAAGAGCCTCGATTAATTCTCTGCTCCATCTTAATGGAACAAACACTGGCTCATTTGCACCCACAGCTCTACTAATGCTTAGATTCTAGCTGGCAAAATAGCCACTGTAACAGCAAAGTTGAAATTCCCTCTTTACTGCTGGTCTTTTGCTCTCCACACAGGGGTGCTGCGTGTAGTTTCCTATTCTATTAAAAAATTGAAGACAAGTGTTACTCCTACTGCACAGAGATGGTTAGAGGCAGAGCAATGGACAGCAGTGAACAGTAAAGGAGAGCTGATGTGAGTCTTTCTGTTCCCTTTGCCCAGCTTCAGCTTGCACTAAACTGTAAAGAAATAATGCTCCTTTACGCCATGATAAATAATAGTAATTTTATTGTTTTTTTCTCTTTCTAGCCCCAGCCTTGTGAATCCTCCCAGTAAAACTGATGAGAGCTGTTAGTGATTGCATAGGTGGTTTGGAACACCACACTTCACAAAGCCCCAAGGCAGCATAAGCGAGAAAGACCCTCTCAAGACTAATTTTGACTCCATGATCAATCGTGTGCTGGAAAGCATATATCTGTGATGCTCTGTGGGGAAATACAGAAAATTCAGCCTCTTCCTCTCTGCAGCTTTTCTTTAGCCTTCCGTTTCCACACTGCCCTTATTTCTCCCACGTGAAAGCTTCCTGGGGTTCTCCAGAGGGAGGAAGGTTTGTGCCATTTGGGTACACATCCCCTCTCCACCTGAGCACAGGATTGGTCCCTGCTGCAGGCTGAGAGCTCTCCAGCCCTGTGCTGGTGAGCAGCTTGCAACCCTCTGCATTGCCATACTGGCCAGGTGGTCCTGACTGCTAATGAGCCTCATTTGATTTCTCCCTCTGCACCTGGCAAGCAGACAAAATCTATCAAAATTGGTGTTCTAACGTTCAAATAGTTTTTTCTGGCACCAGTACTCAGAAGAATCTTTTACTTCAACAATAGGAAAAAAAAGCCCTTTTCTTATTAGATTTAAATCAACTGATTTAATACATTTTGAAGCAATTCTGCCGTGGGAAAAATATGGCAGATAGACAAATAAAGTGGTGGGTATTCTGAGAAATAGATAGATCTGCCTCTCCAAGACTGTATGTGTTTAAATTGCTCCAAAAGAAATGCCTCCTATTTCTTTTTATGGAAAATACAACAGCTACAAAGAGCACAATAAGACTGCTTGATAGAGCAACATCTCACCTTTTTTTTTTTTTTTTTTTTTTTCCAAGACAATCACTGCCTCTAGCTATGTATTTTTTGCTCATGATAAGCATGAGCTTGCATGCACTTATCAAAATCTGCACCAGCAGAGGTGACCACTGTCACCACTGTTCAAACACACCACCCACCCTTCACTGTGGTGACATCCTCTGTTTGTCTCCATAAATGTTTAGCAAGCATTAAGGAATGTCAATGAGTGTCATTTTTTCTGCATTTCACAGACCTTTGCTTCATACACACCGTTCTGTCAGACTGCCCCTCTGCTGCCATCTGCGACATGGCAATAAAATGTAATGGAATACTGATGGAAAGGTTCAACCTCTGCTGCCATACCAGCAACATCTGCCTCTGATGTCATGGAGCAACATAATAAAACAGGAGGCATTACTTTTGGAGCAGCTCTCGCATTTTCTACTATATAATCTATTAAATTTTGAGTTCAGTCCTGAAATGCAGCTTGCCACGCTTCAGCACATGGAAAATGAGATAAAAAGAGAGGAGAAAGTGGATTGTAAAAGCTGCTTCCATTTCACTGCTCTCCATCCTACAGGTGTTGGTTTTATGGGTGGGAGAGAGCTGATATGCAGGGGGCTGAGAGAAACATAAAACAAAGCAAAGGTTTGAGCTTCAAATAAATTGTACCAAACAGAGAAGGTTAAAGGACTGACAGTGTTGGTCATTCAAGAATGAGCTTTCTTCCCATGTGGTTCCAAGTCCCGGAAGATAAATGTGTAAAGGTTAGACAGTCTGATAGGAAAGATCCTGTCCTGGAGTCAGTAGAAGCTATTAGCCTCACTGGGCTTTGGATGCTGTAATTTATTTTCTCCAGTTAAAGCCAATATCCTGTCCCCACTGATGTTCAGATATCAAGCAGCCTAAGCAGCAAAGGCTTTATGTGCTCGTGCTAGGGTACGCCAGAGAGCTGGCTTTATCATTTTTTGTTCAAGTCTCTGTGCAGAGTATAAGTACAGTTATAATAGGAGGAAAACAGAAGTTGCTCCACAATTGCTTCAATGAAGGCTTGCATTCAGGCATGGGCACTAGACACACTTGGGGATGTGTAAAAGCACAGCCCAGCTCCGGCCTTTATTGCTGGCTCAAGTGATCTTGTAGCTGGAAAGAAATGCACGTGGTATCTAAGGCATGTCCAAGCATCACTAGCATCAGCATTGCAGGTCAAGGAGACTTAAGAGCCACAAATTGGTAAAACACCAAAGAGGTATTTAAGAAACTCTGAAGTAGAGAGGCTTTGCTTCCACAAACCTCTCACAATAGCAAACGGGCAGTGTGCCTGTGCTGAAAAACCTAGGAGAAACCAGGGACTTACCTGCTGCTTTGGTTTTCAGTAGAGCTGATGGCTTGCTCGGCTCCCCAGTTCCAACACTGTTGCTGGCAACCACACGGAACTCATACTCAACCCAAGGGCTTAAGTCAACCACTGTTGCTTTGTGAGTCCTACCATTGAGGACTTCAGGAACTAAAACAAACATGTCAATGAAACAATATTTTTGCAGTAATTAATGTTATGCATACAAAATACAAGGCAACTCTCAAATCACTCACCTGTTGAAACTGCCTGCCATCCAACTGAGAAAGGAGTCCTTGTCTGAATGCTGTAGATCTGGACTGGACTATTGTTATCTATTCCAGATTTCCAGGATAACACTGCAGTAGTGCTAGAAATATGTTCAACTCTAACATCCTCTGGTGGGCCTGGGGGACCTAATGCAAAAAATATTTTAACATAAATGTATTTAAAGTAGAAGACAACAACTGAGGATAATCAAGAGTGCAAGGTGGTGCCTTGTACAGACATCTGATTTCTACTAGTGGCTACAGGATTTGCTCCCATCAAAGAACTTTTGCTGTTGACAGTAGAAGGATTAGCTAAAATTTCAATCTTATCACTTAGTTGATCATAGAAACTGATCTTTCGTATTATCTCCAAAGAGTGGAAAGAGACCTGGTCTCTTGATTTTTGCCAGCCTATATCTTGACCCAGAGATGCCCAGCAAGGAGCAGGTGACACCATTCTTTTGAAAGAGGAGCACTTCCCTATTTCTTGCTCTGCTGAACTGCATAGCAAGAAAGAATAACCTCCAAAAAAGGCCAAGGCACAATTGCACAGATCTCCCTCTGAGTTACCAAAATCTTGGACTGTCATCCTAGGACTTTTTAAGCAGCTGCTGATGCTAAGAAATACTAATTCCTCCAGAAGATAGGTGTCTACATTTAATAAACATACCTCTTACAATTATATCTACTGCTGTAGATTGACTGTCTAAAGTTGTTTGCACCATGCACACATATTTCCCAGTATGATGAAGTTGAATATTTCTTATCATCAAATCTCCAACAGATTCCTGGAGATACAAAGAAAGTAAACTAATCACTCACAACGTGCTTTTCATACTGGACATTTTAATAAATTGCTCAATATTAATAAAAAATCCAGCTTTTAAATTAAAATATTCATAGCTATCGTTAGTTTTTCTCATGTGGACATTTTTATTATGGCTTCACAAATAACTCAAGTGCCTTTATGAAATCTAAGAAAGAAAAATAAATGGCTGCAATCCTTTTAAAGAAACAGAGATTCACCATGCATATAAATAGTGATGGAAGAGTTATGAAAAATGCTTGTGTGGCCTAATGACTGCGGCAAATAAATTCATTAAGCACTGAAGAGTTTTAAAAACTTACTCCTCCAATTCTCTCAAAATGATGCATTCCTCTTTTGAAGTCAATTTTGTTGCCATTGAACGACCATGTGAACGCCACAGCCATGGAGGGGTCATGAGAAACCTGGCATGGAAGGACTATGCTTTCTCCAACTGTTACATCCATGTTAGAAGGTGGAAAAGTAATTACAGTCCTTTCTGTGGAGACAAAACAGTTTCCTTTTTATTAAAATGCTTATAAAAATAGTAGATCTTGAATGAGCTTTGTACCATTGGCGAAATGATGTGAAATTGGCCCAGATGTTCCATAATAAAGAAGATTATACCTAATATGGTGATGACTTCAGAACACTCTCACCCATGTGTAGCCTATTACTTCTGCAGTATCCATACGAGCACTCTGTGTGCTCTGAGAGTGAGCAGATGTCAGAGGCAACACGCTAAATTAGTCATATGTTACTTTGTAAATCCCATAGTCGATAGATATGATTTCAGCTTAAAATGTGCAGAATTAATTATTGAGACTGTTAGAAATATACCCACAGTTCTTCAGGTTTGAAAATGCTTCCTTGCAGGAAACTGCAGCAAAAACAAAATTGGTGTCCATCTCTGCTTACTGTATATACTGGGAGATCTTTAATCTACATTCTTAGTAATAGTTTACTGTAGAGTTGCTTACACTACAGCCTCAAAAAAGCTATCTCAACAGACAGAAAAAATATCTATGTAATCTTTTTTAACCCCTTAGACTGAGAAATAAAGCTGCAGATCTTATTAAGGGAACTAGTAGTTTGCTGAAGGGGAAAGAAAGGGGTTTATATGGCTTCATTTTTGTTGTTATGACTGGCAGATAGATTAGAGATAACAACCACTTTGTTGTAGCAATTCCATTGAATAAAGCTTTTGTGCATGAAAATGTTATAAAATGGTGAGAATTGAGAGGCACATGAATAAAATGAGAGCAGAATCTATTCAACAATATTAATGTGTTCTGAAAATAACATGAGAGGAGGAGAGGAAACCTTGCAGGAGTCGTATTAGTTTAGTGTTCATGCTGGCTTAACTCTATCTGTAATAAATGCTTCAAAAATTCAGAATTTTGGTTACCAAGGCTATGGTTCCAAGGGGCTGGTGCATGATAGGGCATCCAATACTTCACCTTCAAGCCATTTTTGTTCAGATTGTTACCGCCATTGTAGTAACCAAATAATATGTAGATGCAGGCAGGCAATATGGACTAAAGCTTGATGGGCTCCTTCCCAGCATCTGAGCTGCACTGTTGGAGTGACTGTTAGAGCAGTGGTCAAGAAACAGCAAGGTAGGGTGGTGCATGTTCTGCCAACCTTTTAAAACAAAAATCTCCAGTTTCAATGACATGCCTGCTCTAGATACCATATAACGTTATCAAAGGAAAACAGTTTGTTCTGATTTCTACTGCTATAGGCCAATTAGGTGATTTTGTTTTTCTGGAATCACTGAGAAGCTGACTGTCACAGGTTCCCATCATCTGGAGCCTGGATTTAGAACATTTTATTAGATTTCCCTGTGTACTCTGATTGCTCTTCATGCAAAACCACCATCATGGCAGATCCATCCATTTGTCTGAAGTCAAGGACTGCAGAATAGTGAAGGCCTCAGATGACTGTCTTGAAGATACTTGATCATTAAGTTAAAGCAATCTCTCCCTCTCCCTGGAAGCAGAGTGTCAGTTGCAATAAATTCCAGATGATTCAAGGGCCATACTCTCTGCTGGCACAACTCCACTGATTTCAGCACACATTGGCAAAGAACTTGGCTCCATAAATCTCAAGCAAAGTAATTCCATCGTGAAGTACAGTTAACTTTTACAGAATAATGTTGAAAAGTATCTAAGAACCGCAGAAAACCTCCACAAACTTTTACTTTCTTGCTTTTATTCTCCAGCGCTTCTTATTCCCACAACTGAAATAGATTACCATGAATAACACTTTGAGGTAAGAATTGAAGTAATGCTGTGTACATTAAAAGAAGAAGAAAAAAAGAAAGAAAGAAAGAAAGAAAGAAAGAAAGAAAGAAAGAAAGAAA